CCCCCCCCCCCCCCCCCCCCCCCCCGCACGCGGGCACTCTTGCTTTCACCCTCCCTTGTCCAGTTGCAATATTCATCAGCAGCCAGATTATCAAGGCGATCTGAGCATTTGTATGAGCGCGTTTCTCTCTCTCCTTCTCTCTCTCTCTCTCTCTCTAACCAGCAGGGGTGGGGGGGAAAAGAGAGAGGGGGACTCAGTTTCATCGCCTTTGCAACTGAGTAAGTACCTTTTTCTCCCTTCCCTTCTCTCGCTTTCTCTTTTGGGGGGAAGGGGAGGGGGAAGGGGCATTCTTGACACTGAGACGGGCTTGTTTGAAAAGCTGGTTCAAGAGGGGCAAGGTTGTGGATTTTTCGTTTTCGGGTACCCCCCTGCTTCTCTCTCCTCATTTCCTTTCCCTGGTTTCTCCCTTCTGCTGAGTTTGTGACCGGAGTAAGATTGTTAGACTAATAAAATAAGCCGGCAGATGGTCCATATTCCGAAGCTTCATGGGAACCATCACAATAGTTTGGTTGGTGTGAAAGGACAAGGTTGGTGCGAAAAATGTCTTCTCGACCCTCTCCTGCGATTGCCTTTCTTCTTCTTTCTCTCCCCTCCCTAGTCTTTATTGATCCTTTGTATTATTATAGTTTAAAAGATGAGAAAATGGATTAGCTGTATGTGGAGCCCTGAGGTTTCTTTCCTGTTTTTCCTACCTCTCCCTTCCCCCCGCCAAAAAAAATCACTCCTTTCTTAACTCCCCAGGTCCGGCCTTTCTTCTTTGTGCTGTGTCGCTGCCTTTCTTTTTCTTTTCGTCCTTTCGGATTTGCTTATCGTTTGCATGTCCCTGACTTTTTTTATATATGTATAAATACCCCGAAGGAGAGCAGTTTAAGAAGCACACGCACCGTTCAGATAAGCCAGGCGTATCTGAACACTCTCTCTTTCTGATCTGTCCGAAGGCTGGGAAGAAGAGTTGCAGAAAGGGGCTGATTAGAGGGAATGAGGAGCGGACGCAAGGGAAGTTTTGAGGCCAGGCTGCTGGGCTCGGTTACACCCCGTCACTTTTCTGTGGAAGCAAGTTTTTCCTGAACCCAAAGAGATTTAATTCTCCAGTAAATATGTCGGGGGGGGGGGGGGGG